AAAGATGTGTGGGTTAGGGTGGATTGGCCATGCTAAATTACCCATAGTGCCCGGGGATGTGCGGGTTAGGGTGGATTGGCCATGCTAAATTGTCCCATAGTGCCCAGGGATGTGCGGGTTAGGGTGGATTGGCCATGCTAAATTGTCCCATAGTGCCCAGGGATGTGCGGGTTAGGGTGGATTGGCCATGCTAAATTGTCCCATAGTGCCCAGGGATGTGCGGGTTAGGGTGGATTGGCCATGCTAAATTGTCCCATAGTGCCCGGGGATGTGCAGGTTAGGGTGGATTGGCCTTTGGAAATACAGGGATAGGGGAGGGAGCTGCGGTGGGAAATGGGTGGGATGCCCTTCAGAGGATTGGTGTGGACTTGATGGGCCAAATGACCTCTTCCTGCATGGCAGGGATTATACAGGAATTGCTGGAGAATCGGTGGCATCTGGTAGAGAGAGAAAGAGCTAACGTTCCAGTGACCCTTCCTCAGAACTCAATCTCAATCTCTGCTGCTGTTGCCAGGTTTCTCCAGCAATTTGTGCTTTCTTGTTTGCAAAACGCCCCAGCCATTGCGCACAGGTCGCAATCTCACTTTGTTCCCCACTCTCCCTGCCTCACTCTATCCCTGACTGTCCTTTCCAGACGTGCCGAAGGTCATATTCCATGCCAAGGTGTCCGATGGGAAGAACCCAGTGGCGCAGAAACGTGTAGTCTATGACCTGGTGACCATAAACAAGGGCTCAGCGTACAACCCCATCACCGGTTTCTTCACTGCCCCGTTCTCCGGCATTTACCAGTTCACCTACTCGCTGCTGGCCCAGATGACGGCCGAGCGCACAGCGGTGTACCTGATGAGGAACGAGGAGAACCAGAGCTACCTGCACAGCATTCTGAAGAGTGGCCAGGCCCAGAGCACCAGCATGAGTACCATACTCTCCCTCTACAAGGATGACCAAGTCTGGCTCAGGCTGGGAACAGGCTCGGCTTGGAGTGGCCTCGGAGCCTTGAACTTCCAGGGGGTCCTCCTGGAGGTGGAGGAGGACTGAGCGGGAGGTGCTGTCACTCGGAGGGGGAGGGTGCAGGTGGGTGACACTGCCCGCGAGGGAGGGGAGACGACTGCACCACCCCTGGGAATCTCTGACCCTCTTCCATTTACCCAGCCCCAAACAATCTGGGGAATGGAGGTGCCATCGCTCCCCTGGACTTTCTGCCAATGTTCCTGCTCTTCCGGATCTGCGAATGGTCGGGAGGGGTCTTCGCGATCCCCATAGCTCAACCCCAGACGCCATCAAAAACCCTCTCTCACTCCCTACAAACTTTCATATCCCATTCTGTGTTCCCTCACTCACTCCCCGCTCCCTTTAATATCCCACCCAGCCTAATCCCTCTCTCCCCCTCACTCCCCGCTCCCTGTAATATCCCACCCAGTCTAATCCC